GAAGATTCTGGGCTGTATAACACACGATGTGGACTTCCCTATGTGACATTTTAAACTGAGTGTTCATCCAACAGTAGGATGAACCACCTGTGTGTATGTGTGTATGCACTTGTGTGTATGTGTACAAAGAAATCCTAGTAAGGCGGTACTGTTGGTTGGGGGTGTGCACTCAGTGGTTGAACCTTGGGTAGCATGCATGAGAACCTGTCCCAACCAAACCCTCAATGCAGATATTAGTATCCATCAGGTTCACAGAACTAGGGATATAGCTCAATGGTAGCAGAGGGGCCCTGGGTTTCATTTCCAGCACCACCCTCCCCGCCCTACAAAGAAATCTATTTTTGTTGCTTTTTTAAAATTTTATGTATTATTAATTTTATGTATTTGGTGCCCTATCCTCACGTACATGCATGTACACATAGATGCCAGAAGAGGGCATCAGATTCCATGATAGATGGCTGTGAGCCACCATGTGGTTGCTGGGAATTGAACTCTGTACCTCTGGAAGAGCTGCCAATTCTCTTAACCACTGAGCCATCTCTCCAGCCCCTTTTTGGAGTTTCTTTTGCATTCTGTCACTAGTCTAATAGGCATAATAAACGCTAAGACCTAAGGTCAAAAGAGCATTTGCTTGAGAGTTAACTTCAGCAAGTCAGCAGATCATCTGTGAGCAAATGCATGTCACCTCCAGATATGTCAGAGAGAAAGCCTTTGTGTTTGACAACACTAGATTCAAGGTATATTCAAGACCCAACCAAACTAAGAACAGAGCACAGCAAGCCCTCGCTAAACATGGAGCCTTCACAACAGCAGGACAAGTCAACTTTAACCAACACACTGGTTTGATGGTGGCATCCCATGGGGGATGTCAAGAAGGAGACTAACTGTGAAATGCCTTCTTTCCTAGGATTGGCTGGTCTTTCAAAGCTTATCACCCCTCTCCCATATCTCACAATTAAGACTTTCTCATGTGATGGTGCACATCTGTAAGCCCAGCACCAAAGAGGCTGAGACAGGTGAGTTTCCAGACAGGATGGGCTATATACAGTGAGACCATGCCTTAAAAAAGGAAAAACAATCTCCACCAAAAAAAAAAAAAAAACCAAAGTACAAACTTTGAAACAAAAATCATCTCCTCTGCTAACCAATTTATCCCCAGATCTTGAGGAACTCTCTAGATGTCTGTGCTGTACTTAAGTGCCATTTCAAGAGTCCCAATTGAAAAAAAAAAAAAAAAAAAAAGAGTCCCAACTGTCACTTCCATGGGGTAGCTCGGATATCTCCTTTCTGCTGTATTGGCAGCCCCTCTTTCTAAAAGGCAACCCTCCCTAAACTATCTAGCACTAACCTAACATGTAGTCTCACCCAGGGACTCTTTAAGGGGAGTGAATAGAAACTGAAGCTCTTGGTGTGTACACACGCGCATTTACACACGCACATGTCCCTCAGGAGCTGCTCGCCTTGTTTTTTGAGACATGGTCTCTCGCTGGGACTTCAGGTTCATTAGACTAGGCTAGGCTGACTGGTCAATGAGCCCCAAGAGCCTGCCTGTTTCCCCACCTCCAGCACTGGGATTACAAGTAGGTGTCACCATCCCAAACCTTTCTCATGCGTTCTGTCTTCAACGCAGACAGGTCTTCATTGCTTACAAAGCAAGTTTATAGACCAAGTCATCTCCCCAGTCCTAACTTTAGGAGTATTATTTTTTTTTACTGTATGTGGGTGTTTGCATGCATGTATATATGTGCACCATGTGTGTGCCTGGTACCTGCAGGGACCAGAAGATGGCTTTAGATCCCTTGGAACTGGAGTTACAGATAGTCATGAGCTGTGACGTGGGTGCTGGGAATCAATCTTGGTCCTCAGGAAGAGCAGCCAGCATTTGTAACCACTGGGTCACCTCTCCAGTTGGTCTAGCTTTAGTTTCTAATCAGTTTATTGAATATGAAAATCTGGAACGTACGCTTATCAACTATCAGAATATCGCACACAGCTACTTAGAGCCATTTTGCCTAAATAAGTTTGAATTTCTGTTTATAGGTATACTCAAATTTAATGATGTCTTTAAAATGGGGGGAGGGGTGAGATTTGCAGCATTGTGTTATCTACTGTCTACATATATACTAAAACCTGATCTGTCTTTAAAATATTCCAATTCTACAGTGCCAGTTAATGACCAGAAATTTTGGAAAACTCTTCTCAGTGGAAAGAATGAAAAAAGTCAAAGTGAGATCCACAGGTAAGTAGAGACCCTTCCTTTCAGCACAGGATCACCTGGCTGACCTCTTGACCTCTAACAGCTATCCAGTGCACTAGCTGGAAGCATTTTGTGAAAATTTCCAAACAACTTCAAGACATATGAAACCAAGCAGAGTGGTATAAACCTGAAGTTCCAGGTATTCCAGAGACTGTATGTAGCTGGAAGATCCCTTGAGCCCGATAGTTGGAGGAGTCTGGGCACCCTATTTATTTACTTACTGTGTTGTGTCTATGTAACTGGGCGGGTGCGTGTGTGGAGGCTAGAAGATAACTGCACAGGTCAATTCTCTTTACCACGTGAATGCTGGGGATGGAACTCAAGTCATCAGGCTCAATGGCACGTGTCCACCGATGGGGCCACCTCACCAGACGGCCGCCGTCTCCTGACATCTTTCACTGTAACCTAGACACTCCATTTCAACTAGACTGGCTGAGCAGCGAAGTCTCAGGATCTGCCCGTTTCTGCCCCCACTATGGGTACCAGGCTTCCAACAAGTCTTCCTGTTTGCAGAGCACTTTACCAAGTGAGCCATCTCCTCACTTCCCCCTTTTCAGTGGGGTGTTCCCTTTACTCTCATCCCTAAATTTTCTTTCACATTTAGGTTCTTAGTCAAATTTGCCTAAACAGAGTACCTTAATTATAATGCAGAGCCTAGCTCGAGTCTTTCGAATAAACCCAACTTCAGCAGAAAAAAGGAAGCAAATTTCATTTTAACAAGGCATTTAAACACTGTGGTGTGGTGGCACACACCTATAACCCCAGCTCTAGGGAGGCTAAAGCAGGAGGATCATGAGATCTGGGCTACATACTGAGATTTTTAACTTTTCTTCCCCAGATGGAGCCAGTCTCCTAAGAACAGAGCATTTCTCTGGTATGCTCAAGGTCAAGGTCATCCCTGACTCTCTGCCCAACCTGCCCCCTCCAGATAGTTACCAATCTTCACTTAGGAAGACGATTACTAGGATACTGTTTTACTAAACATAGCACATATCCCTTGGGTGACATGGATTTTTTTCTTGGGGGAGGGTGTTAAAGCAGGGTTTCTGCTTCATAGCTTGGGCTGGTCTGGAACTTGACACCCTGCCCAGCCTCCAGAATACTGAGATTACAGGTGTGTGCCACCCACTTCCAGAGAGTGAAGGCTTTAAAACTGGAAAAGGTTAAAAGGTTCTGCATCTTTGTGATCTACACCATAAATACCAGTGAGGGTTTAATTTGTAGATACCTGTACTTTATGTGTCTAGAACCCTCGTATTTACTTCTAACATTTGTGTTTCTGAGTGATGCTTACAGAATCCAAAATAATGAAGTTCTTACTATATAACACTTAACAGAAATATACTTTTTAGAAGGATGAGAATTTCTTTTTAAAAGTTGTATTACATTCATTTGTCAAGTGTAACAGTGTATACCTTTAATCCCAGCACTCGGGAGGCAGAGGCAGGAGGATTTCTGAGCTAATGGCCTGCCTCATCTACACAGTGAGCTCCAGGACAGCCAAGACTAATAACATAGAGAAAACCTGTCTCAGATAAATAAATAAATAAATAAATAAATAAATAAATAAACAATAAGGAATAAAAGAGTGAGCCTACACATATGCCAGTGTGCACAGAGATCAGAATCAGTTCTTACCTTCCACCATGTGGTTTCCTGGGAATGGAACTCAAGTCATCAGGCTTAGCAGCAAGTATCTAAACCCATCAAGTCAACTTACTGACCCCATGTGCACAAATTTCTGTCCCTCCATATACAGAGCTTAAATTTTATTTAACACAAAGAGTCCAAGTCCGGAGACTATAGGTATGTCTTACTCCTTGCTGATAAAAGCAAACTGCTTAATTCATGGCAGCCTGAAACAGTTACACAATAAACAACAGTAAGAAAAAGGCACTTACATAGTCTAGTCTTTATTGAAAGACTTACTTCAACTGTGGTTTACAGCTTTGGCTTTAGTTGGCCTCTCACTGCCGGCAGACATAAAGATCAGACGGACTGGCATCGAGGAAATGCTAGTAGAAAAGGATTCAAGCACAGACGATGGCAGGCAGAAACACACCAAGATAAATCTCAAGAAACTATGAAGAGACATTTCCTTGCATGCCAAAGAGTCTCTCTGCTGTTCTTACGAACACAGGAAGGGAAAGGCAACAGTTCTTAGGCTTAAAGTGGACCGAGATGGCACAAACTCAAATCTGCGTAGTAAGACAGTCTGAACCTGTGTTAGCTTGATCACTGTACTTTCAAAAATAGTGCATTTCGTCTGGACATTTCCCTTTCTATCTTAAAACTATTTGCTGTGAAATGACTGTGACTGACTTATCAAGAAAACTTTTTTTCTCATCCAAATTAAGACAAAAGACATGTCAGTCACACACTCACTATGGCAATGTAACTAGTCTGGATAATTTCATTAAATCATAGAATATATAACAGAAAAGGCTACACTAGAGTTAGCCATTAGTTATCTCAATAAGCTACTTAATATATTGGCAGAGGAAAAAAGGCAAATTGAAATTTTAATTCAATAAAAGCTTTTATCAATTTAGAAAATCCTTAAGATGTTTGAGTTTCGCAAAAGTTAACAAAAATCTTAACTCAGGAGCAGAATATTAGCTTATTGGTTTCTTCTTATAAAATATAAAGTACCTTTTCCGGAACATCCCCCAAAGGTAGGATGATCAGAAGAAACAGGGCTATTTCAGTCATAGACAAGTATAACACAGGACTATTGTGGTTTAAAAAAAAAAAAAAAACTAAGGTACATAAGATTTTGGCTCAAAAATGAATTTCAGACCCTGTAAATTTCTATACTAAATATATTTGGCTGTGAAGGAGGAAAAATACCAGAAGTTTTGTGGTCACCAACATATAAAACACATTATCTTAATCATTAGACTTCAATGGCTAAGTGCGGCCACCAGCTGCATCTTACCGACCTTACCACTGAACCGTTAGGGGTTGTTTGCTCTTGTGCATACACAGGCCAACAGGTTTAATACACTGCCAGAACATTTGCACCCCCTAGCTGTCACAACTGAACATAGATTGTTTATAGAACTATGAGGCAGACTGTATCCACAAAGACTGACAAATGCCATGGAAGCTCACCAGGAACTCCTGCATCTTCCCCATAGGCTCATTTACAAACTGTGCACACATACAACTCAGGCCTCTTCAGGCCTGTCACCCACACGCTCCCCACAAGGAAAAAGAACAAATTAGGAATAAAAGTCACAACTTTGTGTTTGACTTAAATTGAATATCCAATTATAAATTGGTATATCAAGCTGTCTAAATAAGATATTTTAGCAATCTTGTTAAAAAAATTCTTGGGCAAAATATATCTAATTTTTAAAAACATCCCAAGATTTTTAAAAAAACATTTGTGCTATACAACTTACAGGAAATTTGAAATCATTTCACTGGTTTTAATCAAGGTATTTTGTACCAAATAAAGAAAAAAAAAAAGAAAAAGAAAAAAAAGTCCAAAACTAACTTACTTCCACTTACAATTTAGAATATGCTAATGCTTCAGGATCTGTATGAAATTAAATTAAGGCTTCTTCTGTGTGGTCATCTGTGTCATCTTCATTTACATGGCCAACCTGGAAACGGCATCTGAAACATTGTTACCGAGCACTGCGCTCCCTGTTCCCTCGCTGCAGTGAGAATAGATGTCACTTGTCACCTCGGATAAGTACACTGCTGCTACTTCTATGTTGAAGCATGCTTTTGGAACACTGTAGTTATTCAATATTTACAATGTTTATCATTTAAACTCCATGTAAAAGCACAAGTATGACTGTCTGACTTTAATATAAACACCATACTTGGAATTTCCCCCCAGAATGAAATGCAATATACTACATTTTGATAACCAACACTTTGAAAGTTTTAAAAATATGTATTAATGTGGACCACCAGCATTCACTCAAGGGACTTCTACGATGCTGTTCCTTATTTAGGTTGCAAGCTTTCAGTCTGGCTTCAGTTTCTTTAATAGAGAGAGAAACAATATTTCTTCCACAGCGATTCCCACACATCACGTATTTCTTCTGAAATCACACTTTTCCTGCTGACTTCAATGTGGTCCACCTCAGGGATGGGAGGGGAGTATCAGAATTCAGGACGTACTGATGTGATTCTCAGTTTTCACGATACTCCCTTTTTTGCTCTTTTAAAAACACAGTGAGTTAAAATACTGAACAGCAAGATAAAAACGGAATAGTGTCTAAGAATCAAAACGTATTACCCATTTCTCCTATTATATCAAAATTTATAGTCAGAATTGTCTTTATTGACTTTATTTTAGTTTTTGTACACAAAGAAAAATCATGTTCATCTCCATCATGAACAAAAACTTAAAAAGGCAGAACTAGAAGACACGTGTCCTTCCCCGGGCAAAGCTGTGCTAAGGGTTCCAACATTTCAATTGTTAAAATAAATATTCTCACTTCCGATGTTTACTTTCATGTCTTCAAAGTGTCATACGAAATTGCAGCCTATGGTGAGTTACAACTGTGTTTAGAGTCCCAGCTCACTGTGTTGGAAAACTGGCCATTCCATAACCAGCTTGGTTTGGAGGAGGTATTACAGGAGGAGGAGCTTGTCCTTGAGGAGGCTGAGCACCAAATCCACCCATCCAAGCAGCAGAAGGTGATTGACTTGGAAGAAAGCAGGGAAAAAAAATTTTCAGCAAACACAAAGAGATAATCTATACAGCTATACAAAACCAGGCAGACTCTAAGCACAAAGATAAACCACGAATCCCCAACAAACAGGACACACACCACCACCATTACATCTTACAGCTTTTCACTGCCTTTTACTTTGTGCTGTGCTGGGGATCACGCCCAGGGCCTTGTCTATGCGATGTGATGCCCCACACTTCGGTCCAGCTTTGTTAGGATAATCACAGCTTACCTCAAGTCTGCAGACCACCTCAAAGCTGGTTCTTAAAAAAATAATGAGGGCTGGCATGGTGGTACACACTTTTAATTTCAGCACTTGGGAGGCAGAAGCAGGTGATCTTTGTGAATTCGAGGCCAGCCTGGTCTATATAAAGTTACAGGCCAACCAAGGCTTATAGCTATAGTAAGACTGTCTCAAAAAACAAACATCTAGGACAGCCAGGGCTACACAGAGAAACCCTGTTTCAAAAATAAAAATATAATAATGATAATAGCAATCCTAGGTGAGCCAGGTATAAGGCCTCCTATCTGCACCCCAGTACCTGAGCCGGGGAGGGGTTGGGACAGGACTGCTGGGAGTCAGTAATATCCAGGCCACCCTGGCCTAGAATGAAACACTGTCTTATAAAAATAAATTACTTAGGAGGCAGTACTCTTGTTACAGCCCTCAACTCTTGCGGTATTTTTAATAAACCTGTGAAAATAAAGGTCTAACTCAGCCTAGGGGAAAAACTTCACACAAGGCAAACTACACTATGTCATATCAGCTCCCAAGGTGTCTTAGGATAGGCCAAACAAACATAGAAACATCATCTTTCTGAGCATATCTAGGAAAAGACCTGTTACACACATAAAATCAAATAAAACTGCTATTATAAATGAGTTAGCTAGCTGCTTAGAGAGAGGTCAGACTACACCCCCATTTCTGTAATGCAAGGGCTACAAACTCCACTTCCTGAGATCTGCTGTATTCCATTTACAGTCCAAACGTCCTGACATAACATCATTTCAGTAGACTCTCCCCTAGGAGAGCACAGATTTCTCTTTCCCCAGAACTCATCAGTTTCTACAATGGAAAAACCAAAACAACTCACTCTACTCCGAATCCTTGTTGGTTCCATGGTTGCCCATAGACTCCGTAGGGAGGTACTTGCCACCCATTTGCCATATACTGCCCATACTGCTGTGGGTTTCCATACACTTGGCTCCACTGGCCCCACTGACTGTAGTCAACCTAGGAGAAAGCAAATTCTTGTTTTAGGGAACAAGAAAGAAACACCGTATTTGAAGAAAGAGTGGGAGACAAGGAAGAGAAAAACTAAGTAAGCACCCTTATGTGAATAGGACTCTGTTATTTATCATTGTCTAAGTTTATTGGGGTGGTGACACCTGTGAAAAGAAAGTATTAAGATTCAGTTAATACCGCAAAACAATTTTGAAATAGCATTTACACAATCAACTGAAAGCAGCTATATGTTTTATTTTACTGTTTATTTTACAATTTCCAAAGCTCCTATGTAGGTATGTAAGATGGAAACCTTAGAAAGTGCTAAGAAAAATCGAATTACCTGTTGGAAGTTTTTAGTCATATCAGGAGATTCTTTACCCCAATAGCATTTAACCACATGTCCTTCAATTGTAGTACCGTTAACAGAGACAATGGCATGGGCTGCACTTTCATGAGTTGAAAATCTAGGAGGAGAAAGACAGTGAGGTTTTGTCTTCACTCTTTAAGAACTTGGGCAAATAATATAGGAACTCATTGGCTGACACCTTTCAGCTGGCATTTTTTTTAAGCTACATTCTGTAGGCAAACTGCCATCTAGTAAGAATCCACTCATGTAAGAGGGAATAAGCAGTAAGAGAATGGCTTTACAGCTGGCGTGTTACCTGACAAACGAATAGCCCTTCTCTGGAAAAACTCGAATTTCCATAATTTGTCCAAATGGTGAAAATGTTTGTCTCATAAGCTGATCTATACAAAGAAAAATACACAAAGAAAATATTTACAGCTCATGCTAGCCATGAAATTTATACTAATAGTGCTGAAACACCAACAGAGAAGGTAATTAGGAAGCCAAAGACTATACCTGTTAGCCCAGAAGCAATTCCTCCACAATACACAGTACAATTTTTTGGACTTGACTGGTTTACTACATCTTCAAATCTCAACTGCTTAGTGTTAGCTATATGAAGAAAGTAACAAAATTTGGACTGTTAAACAGTATTATAAAACTAGTTTTTGAGCTGACCTTAAAGCTCATTGCATATGTAAGGTCCCATGTTCAATCCCCAACACCACACACATATACAATCTTTTGTTCTTATATACCATTTTTAATTTTTTTTTTTAAGACAGTATCTTTCTATGTAGCCCTCGCTATCCTGGAACTATGTGAAAGAGGCTGGCCTCTGCCTCCCAAGTACTGGGATTATAGGCATGGGCTACCACTCCCAGCTACATACTGTTAAGATATACTCCACTAGGAGAAACAAAATTTTTTTCTTCTTTCTGTGACTTAACAGATAAGGGGGTGAAGTCTCGGGTATCCCAGGCTAGGCTCAAACTCACTATGATGCTGAAGAGGTCTCTGAGAATTTCTGTTTCTGCCTCCATTTCCCATGTACTGGGATTATAGGCATGAGCCTCTATACCTGGTTTATATGATGCTGGGGACCAAATTCAGGGCCTCATGTATGTTAACAGCAAGCAAAAGCACTCTACCAACTGAGCTATAGCCTCAGCCTTAAATATAGATCTCATCTATAAATAAATCAGTTGGTTCTTAGCCTGGAGGGTACTTATATCTAAAGTTCATATGATGAGATTCATGGTAAAGCTTACAGTAATTTAAATATTAAGAAATTAAGACATAATGGTACATGGTATAATCACAATCTATGCTTGCTACATACATGCAGATATAACTTACTTTCCTGTGTACTTTTAGGGGCAGGTGGTTTACGTGTGGCCCAATTGGTTCTGATTTGTCGACCTCCCAACCACTGGCCCCCCATGTGCACAATTGCATTTTCTGCATCCTATAGAGAAAAAAAAGAGCAACTAGAAAACAAAACAAACAAAACCAGATGTAAAAAACCCAGTAAGACAAAAATGAAAGCCGATACTGCTGCATCCAATACATCTCATCATCTGTGAGTCCATTCAGCACAAAGATGTTACCAATAAAACAACTTGAATCATAAAGCTGCTTTCTAAGGGTTCAAAATACTAATATTTAAATTTAAGAATTATATTTCACTAATATAAAGAAAAAAGATAATCCTATTCACCACCCCAAAATCATTTTCCTCCAATACACACAGATGAATAATAAAAAAAAAAAAATAGAAATCTTGTGTCATTTTAAAGAGCCTTAATTTTATGGTTGCTTTGTAATGTAATAAAGAAAATGTGAAAAGAGGCTAATGTACATACATAACTGCTGGAACAATTAATATTCCTTATGAGGCTGGGTGTGGTGGCAAAGGCAGGTGGATCTTTGATAGTTCGAGGCTAGACCAGTCTACAAAGCGAGTGGACAGCCATGGCTACACAGAGAAACCCCGTCTCAAGTAAATAAAAAATATATATACATATATATATGTGTGTGTGTATTATGAAAATATAGTTTTGATGAAAACAATTAAAATAGAGACTTTCCTTGTTAAAACCGAACATAATTCTCATATTGGTTCACTTCTACTGGTCTCGGGTTTTACTACTAATTCATTCTGCCTTCACCAATGCACAAATGCATTTTCATAATCCTCCTTCATTATTATCACCCTAGCCTTTTCTAGATATTTTCAAGTTAATAACAGAATTATTTTCTATTATTAATATAAATTATATTCCTAAATTAACATTCAAGCACATTAAGTTTCAATCATTAATCGTTAATTTTAATAAAGAACTAAATCCCGAAATGAATTGAAGACTGAGTTGATTGAAAGGACGTACCAGTTTGTTATAAAAAGATACAAAACCATAGCCTTTGGACTTTCCAGTTGCCATGTCTTTAACTACCCGGGCATCCCTGTGAAAAGAAGCACAGCTAAATGAGGGAAGTAAAAGTCACCCTCAAAATAAAAACTAAAAGGAACCACACACACTGTATTGTGAGCATTTTAAAAATAAACTCCAGTTAGCCCTAATTAACTACAGCCATTCCTGAACTCTCCCTAATGCTTCTTTACCTGTTAGAAAAAAGCAGTAGGACAAAAACATGTAATAAACATGCAACCTAATCACATAACCTGTGCTTGCTAACTAGATACTCAAAGCTGAAGATTAATAGGAACAACAGTTTCCTTTTCTAATATTCTATTTGCTAGTGTCCTCTAAGATTTACTGATTCTATAAATTACTGCAACAATGCTAACTACTTTACCATGCAATATCTAAATAGTTAAATGTCTTCTGCCTAGTGATACAAAATATATGAAATATTAAAAAATTGAAAAAGAGGAAAAAATAGGAATTAAAAAGGCATACATGGCCTGTTAACAGATTTCTTTATTTTTCTTGGTCAATTCTCTATCATCATTTTGGAGTTTGGGCAGCTGTAAATTTTGAAAAATTGACATTTTCAGAAATTTAAGAAAGGAGAATAAAAAACTAACAACAACGCTAAGCACACCAGTACGAAAACAACAAATTTACACAGAAATTTTAGTGAGTAAGTTAAAATGATTGGAAATATAGAACTCCACTGAATATAGAATGTTAAAATGTAAATACTAAAATATGTATATATAAATAATGTATAATAAGAATAAATAGAAATGAGAAAAAAATCTACAACTGAGTTCCAGTGTGCACAGTTCCTTGCAGTTAGCCTTCAAGATCCTGTCCATTCTTATGAGCAATTCTGCAAAATAACCAGAATGCTATTACTTTTAATTGTGACTTGGACTGTAGAAAAACTGTAGGTCTCAGGTATAAATAAAGATCAAAAACAGCAACCTGTATCATTTTATACTATTTTACAACAGTACTACTTACCACACTTAGATTAAAAAGCAAAGCAAATATCAAAACAGAAAATTAAGAATTAAATGTTTCTTACAAATAAATCTATAGAACAACAAATCATATAAAAGTTAATAGAAAAGTTGTTGTTCTTAATCAAAACATTTCTGTAGTCATACATTTAAATTGACAAATATATAACAAATTTATTTTAATTAAAGATAAATTGACATTTTATAAAACTTGCAACCATTTTCTAAAATATTGAATCAAATAACAAAATTTGAGCATATATATTTAAAAAAAAAAATCAACCCATACTTGTCCCTTCCCTAGCAGAATCAAATATCACTAACAAAAATCAATCTCATATTTATTATCTAGACAAGAAAACATTTTAATATTGCAACAGTATTCTTTTTCTGAAAGCTAAATATCAAAATACATTTATCATTATATTTAAACATGAACATTTCCAATTTAACCATAATATACTCAAAGATTTGCTTAAATTCCCCCTACTTATAAACTCCTCCAATAAAAGTTTAATACACAATATAAATCACATTTAGTTTTTATTAACCCAATATTCTTAAGCATTAAGATTTGAAAACATTTGACAAAAAGCTGGAAGCTTCAACATTCGAATATTTGCTTTAAATATAACCAACAGAATCACTTAAAATTTCAAACATTATACACAGGATTATCTGAAAACAAGACCCTAAACATTGAAATGACATCAACATTTGCAACAACATCTACTCAAAAAACAAAACAAAACAAAAGTAAAAATCAAAGAAAAACACACTAACTAGAGAAAGAAAACCTTGATTCTAATACAAGTTAATCATATAGTTTTGCCTATCACTACTGAGTCTGATACTGATTATGATACTTACGATATTTTACCAAAGGGGGCAAATGCTGATTTGATATCTTCTGTTGTAATTTCTGGACTCAAATCCCCAACAAACACATGGAAGTGATCTGAAATCAAAGCATTTGGTAATCAAATACTTAAGAAATCAGGCAACACTAAAGGAGGAAAAACACCGTAGGTAAGCTGGTAATGCTGCCAGGACAACGTCAGGTTTCCACAGTAAATGCAGCAGGAGTACTTACTGGAAGTATCTTTTTTCTGGCTACTTGGTGTTGTTGCCCAGTTTACTTTGACCTCCTAAAAGCAAAGATTATATTTAATACAATTATTAGGCATGTCACTATGAGCTGTTAACACTTACCACTTAATATATCATTTATCAAGTTGGATTATGTGTGTAAAGGCACTAGGCTGAATAGAGACCACTCAGTAGCTGATTGTCTATTTTAAATCTTGCTAAGAAAGAATGCAGAGTGATTTAACATGCAAACATACGTTTACTGGATGCCATCATCCCATTATCTTACCTTTCCCAAAATTTTTCTGCCATTCATAGCAGCTAATGCAGCAGCTGCATCTCTGTGTTCATAAAATTCCACAAAGCAATATGGATCATTGCTTGTATGCTGCAAAACAGAAAATCCAACAGAAGAGTTGACCCTTCTGCTATCGGGTTGCTGAGAAGAAAATCCAGGAAAAAACATTACTGACAGCTAGGAATGCACAGGTGAGACTGTACAAGCTTATGAAAGCCTAACACTTAAGACTTAAGCTGAACCTCAGAATACTGTTGTATTCCAGCAGAGCCACACGAATAGTAAAGAATCGTGACTGTGAGAATTAAAATATCCAAGTCTGGTGAAGCATGTTTAATACTAACCCTAATCCTCTACCTCAGGTTTAGTAAGGACTGTTCCTAATCACTGCTCTTTTCTTCCAACATTATTTTTCTTATTAGGTTTTGGTTTTTCAATACAGGGTTTCTCTGTGCAACTCTGGCTGTCCTGGAACTCGCTATGCAGACCAGGCTGTCCTCAAACTCAGAATCTGCTGGCCTCTGCCTTCCTCGTGCTGGGATTAAAGGTGTGCTCCACCACCACCTGGCTCCAACATTATTTTAAAAGGCTGATTTCTACTTATGTTTTATAATCCTTCATATACTATATTCCAGACTTATAAAGGTAAAAAAAAAAAATGCAGCTGGGCATGGTAGCGCACACCTTTAATCCCAGCACTTGGGAGGCAGACGCAGGCGGATCTATGACTCTGAGTTCAGCCTGGTCTACACTGAGAGCCCCAGAACAGCCAAGGCTAGTTAGAGACCCTGTCTCAAAAAACAAACTAACAAAATATATAAAAATCAATCCATTTTACCTCTAATCAAAACTAGAGCAGTGGATACTACAATATGCAGCATTTTGTATTGCTACAGATTGGATATAATGCATTTCTTGTCTAGAAGAGGAAAGAATAGAAATAGAAAAATTCAAGATTTGTAATTAGTTGCTGAAATGAATTGTCCATCTTCCAAAACAGACATGATAGCTAGGCAGGATTACACACACAGACCTGTAACTCTAGCACTTGGGAAGCAGAGGCAGGAGGATCAGAAGACTGTAAGTTCAAGGTCAGCATATGTACACACATATGAATGACACAGCTTTAAAATGAAAAATTTTAAAAGGCCCAATATACTGGAGAGCAAAGATATTTTGAATATGTCTTTCGGTGTCCATAAAATACACTAGTAATCTAGCATATGATTGGTAAAAATGTATTTACATATTCTGGCAAGGTGGTACAGCTCAGTGGTAGGGCAAAATTGCCCAGCATGTGTCAGGGCCTGGGTTTGCTACTCAGTATCTTAAAACCAAGTAACTAAATAAATATTAAGTAAATGTAGGGCAAAGCTACAACTTTGCATCACAAAACACCAAGATAAAAAACAAAACAAAACTTCACTAGTTGGCAAATACATAGCTACTAAGGATGCTAAGAAACTAGAGCTATGTAAAAAACACATATTTTTATAAAACTGAAACCTATACTGGCCAGCAGCTCAGCTGACATATTCTTTATATTTGATTAAAAACACTTAACACTATTTAATGTAAAAAGCCCCAAGAGAATAACACACGGACTCTATGCTTTATGTGAACTTACTAGGAATAAAAATTTCAGATAAAATAAAAGATATTTCAACAACTACTATTTCTCATCCCAGAAAATTTTTGTAGAAAAATCCAAAAAAAAAAATGCAGCAGCCAGTTAGGCAGTAGTGGTGCACACCTTTTAATCCCACACTTTGGGGGCAGAGGCAGGCAGCTTTCTGTGACTTCAAGGCTAGTCTGGTCTTCAGAGCTAGTGCTGGGACAGATAGAGTTGTTACAGAGAAACCTTGTCTTGAAAATCAAAACAAAACAAAACAAAAATAAAAGATATAACATCCAGAGGCATTTCTTTGGGTGAGGGAGGGATTATTAGCAATGAAAAGAAAGTACGGGCTCTCACATAAAATCCTATTCTCATATCCATATGACAAGAGAAAGAAGTAGAGAAAGGAAAGGAAATAGGAGAGATGACTCCAAATAAAGTTTTCTCCTCTGAATGAGTGAATGTTTACCAGACACATTCACTAAAGACTGGCAGACCACAAAAACAAGCAAACAAAAAACCAATGTGGGCCAGGCTTGGTGGCATACACATTTAACCCATGCAGTGGAGAGGCAAAGGCAGGTGGGTCTTGTGATTTCAAGTTCAAAGTCAGTCTAGTCTTCATAGCAGTTTCAGGACAGCCAGGGATATATAGTGAGATCCTGTCTAAATAAAATTAGGAAACTAGTATATTTATGCACTGCCTCTGCCTCCCAAGTGCTGGTATTAAAGGCGTGCACCACCACCGCCTGGGTAGTCTGAGGATCTCTTAAGAGGTAAGAACTCTCTAGTGGCTTGGCTGCTTTGTTTTTTGAACCTTCAGGCTGAACCCCAATATCTGTCTCTGGGTTTTTATTATTCATGCTATAGTTTTCTTATTAACTTTAGAATTTTCACCCTTTCACTTAAAAGGAAGCACTTTCCATCTTATTGTTGGGATTTCTGAACTGCCAGCTTTACTTTACACTGAGGCCATTACTAAGTTCAAGCTCCTGGAACATGAGCACTAAATAGATGCTTCAGTCATCTGATGACATCACTAAGTGACTAACGGGTGGGCAGCACGCACAACCTCAACATGTTGGATACAGAAATCCTTTGTGCCTCATTCTCAACACTAAGGGATTTTTACCACGCCACTTAGATCTGTATCTAAAAATATCTGAATTGGGCTGAGCATGGTGGCACACACCTTTAATCCAAGCACTCAGAAGGCAGACGCAGGTGGATCTCTGAGTTTGAAGTCAATCTGGTCCATATAGCAAGTTCCAGAACAGTCAGGGATACATAAGACCCTTTCTCAAAAACCAAATTTCTAAATTGTTCTCTTATGAAATGTCCTATTTTCATTCATATTTTGAAAAGAGGATGATCAGAGCTAAAGATTATTATATTTAAATATCTATATCACATTGTTTGATCCATGTTTTTAAAAAGTCAAATCTTAACTATCAGCTGTTAAAACTTTTAATGCTTGTCTTAAAATTAGAAATTACATGTATATACATACTGCTTTTCATTATATTATAAAAACTAGAATCTAAAAAAAAAAAACTAGAATCCATGATAACATCTGATAAAGAAAAAAAAATCCAAACAGGTGCAAATGGTTGTCCAGGCCTATAAACACCAGCACTCAGGGATATCCCCCACGTTCAAGGCCAACATGGTGAGTTTCAGGACTATGTAGCAAGACCCATCTCAACAAAAAGGCCAAATAAAAAGAAAAAAAACAAAAAACAGGTCAGGACAAAATTGGTCAAAAAAAAAAAAAAGAGGGGAAAAAAAACAAAACAGTATTCTTTTGGGGGGCTGTTTATTTGTTTGTTGATTTATTCATTTTTTCGAGACAGGGTTTCTCTGTATAGCCCTGGCTGTCCTGGAACTCCCCAGTAGACCAGGCTGCCTCGAACTCAGAGATCCACCTGTCTCTGTCCCCAAATGCTGGGATTAAAGGTGTGTGCCACTACCGCCCAGCTAAGAACAGGATTCTTTATATAACAAAATCAAATTTATAAAAGGAAAGATGTTAGGTATTCCTTCCTAGAACCCATGTCCTTTAGAAACTTCCTACCTAGATCACTGCTCAAGCAACACTCCTAACAATCAGTAGAGTCCTTACCTTAATTAGTCTGGTCACCATTACTGGATGACATAAATGTTAAGTCAGAAAAATGAGAGACTTTTAAACTAAAGTTTGAATCTAGGAACTGTAAGACATGGCTAAGCTGTAAAGAGTGCTACTCCTCATGGCTAAGTCTGTATGCACATAGATTTTAAAATATTTATCAAATGTCTCTCAAAAACATTCTAATAGCCGGGTGGTGGTGGCAAACGCCTTTAATCCCAGTACTCAGGAGGATCTTTGTGAGTCTGAGGCCAGTCAGTGTGAGCTCCAGAACAGGCTCCAAAGCTACAGAGAAACCCTGTCTCAAAACACTGAAAACAAACAAACAAACAACAAAACACGTTCTAGTGACTCTTTCCACTTTTTGCATCCTCTGTACCCTGGAGTCACTTTGCCTGCATGTGTTTCTCCGCCACCACCTGACCCTCCTTTCTGTTCTTCCACACATTCAAAACATCTGACTCCCACCCTCCCTCCTGTAAATGTTCTCTTCTGTTGATGCCACAGCATATCTGGTGTCCCCACTTCCTCTCTGCAAGATGTTTCAGAAAGTCGTTTGTCCCTTCTTAACTTTGACTGGAACTCTTGAATGTTTGTTCCAACCTGCAGGCCTCAGATTTCAGTCTGTCCATCCCCCATTTTCTACCACCCCTCTCTAGGTGATCTTACTTACATGGCTTCAAATATTACTGTACACATCAGCACTGGTCTCTCCAGAATTCCAAACTCATTTATCCAACTGCCTACATATAACCTCCATTTGTATAGACAAAGTGTATCTTAAATTTAACACTGCCAAAACAGAAATCTTGATTGCCACCACTCCTCCATCCATCCTGTGCCTTTCTCAGTCATTCCCATTTTAGTAAGTAGCAATGTTAGCACCCACACAATTGCACTGACAAGAATCTAAGTCTCCCTGTTTCTTACAGACACTCTAGTCCTAATGCTCTTACCTCCAAAATAAAAATTTATCTACTGTCTTTCTTCACCACTATCCTAAAACTCAACAACCTATAACCTCGGTGCAGACTTGCAGAATACACCTGCCTGGTTTCCCCTGTTCTTGTACCCTACAATCCTACACAAATTACTCATTTCCACACAGAACAATCTTTAAAATACAAATTAAACCCTGTCTTCTCTTTGGCTAAAAAAAAAAATCTCTCCAACAACCTGGCATTTCTGTCCCAGCTCTGTCCAGGCCCACACTGAATACTCCCTGTCTTGCCGGACTCCATCCCCACCTCCACCCTCCACCACCCACTAGATGCCAGTCATCTCTTTACCACTGTGAAGCCTTTGCTACTTGCGCTCCTCTGCTCCAGTCCTTAACACCGACGGGACCATCTTGGTATTCCTGTCTAGACTAAGAGAAGTGACATCTTCCCTTACATGTGGCCTCAGTCTCATCAGCCACTTGGTCATCACAGAACACTTATTCTCACCACGGCTCTTATCTCTATTCTTCTGAAGCTTCATTTGCTTCTCCATTGCATTCCCAGTGCTTTCAACAGTACCCATGAAAAATATTATTTCCCATTAGTGAAAGAATAAAAGTATAATCAAAGTTAGGAATGAAAAGAAGGAAAATTATATACCAGAATAGAAGGTAACTATTGGCAATTAGATTAAAAGGCCAAAGCTTGTCACAGATTTTTACAGTTCTAGGTTAGAACACCAGCTTTAAACACCCTTGTCTCATCACCTGCTGGCATCTCTATGACTAATTCTACTTCAAACTCTACTTATGCATCTACTGAAGACAACTGTCAGGAAACAGATCTCTGGTTTTTCTTTTTCACAAGCACTCCTGTTCCGCCATAGGCTCTTCTTCCTCAGACTTCATACAGAAGAGTTATCTGTCACCCTTTAGGCTTCAGGCTGTACTGACTCCTAGTAGAAACATCCCATGACCCACAACCACAGTGGCTATTGTCCTGATGCTCCCACAGCAGTTTAAGCTATCTGATCCTCTAGCACTTATATTCTATTTCCTATGTGAGGGCTGACTTCAGTCCCTACAAGCCTGTAAAATCTTTTTTTTTTTTTTTTTTTTGGTTTTTTCGAGACAGGGTTTCTCTGTGGTTTTGGAGCCTGTCCTGGAACTAGCTCTGTAGACCAGGCTGGTCTCGAATTCACAGAGATCCACCTGCCTCTGCCTCCCGAGTGCTGGGATTTAAAGGCATGCGCCACCACCGCCCGGCTAAGCCTGTAAAATCTTATGGGGCCAGGAATTCTTTTATTCACCACTGAATTCTTAGCACTTACCATAGTATCTAGTACACAGCAGTCAAAAAAAAATTGATAAATAATCAGAAAGGAAGAAAAGAGTAACTGACACACGCACCACCGGGTACAACTAGTCTTAACTGAGAAAAGTAAAAATTTTTCTTTGAAAAATAAGACAAAACTTTTGGATTTTGGTACTAGGGGTTGATGAACCCAGAGCCTTGCATATTACAAGTGCAGATTCTATCACTGAGCTACATTCCTAGCCCAAATAAAATTATTATAACAGTTTAAATTCCTATGTACAAAAAGTTGTTCAGACCTTAGTATTTACTAAACACACATGAGATGCAAACTGCTCTGCTGAGCACATAATAACCGGATGTTGGCTTCAACACTTACCAATCCCTTCACTTGACATGTAGACTGAGCTATCGGCGCTTACACTGGAGAATGTGAAATACCATCGCCTTACATCTTTCCCAGACGGGCTACTTATGAGTTAAACACATTATGGAGGACATGCAATGATAGTGCAGAGTCTTTGCCTCCTCCCCTAGCTCACTGGCCAAATCAATGGATTAAGTCAATACCACACACATGAATCTCTCCCACAGAGCAATCTGAGGTTGAAGATGAAATTTTAAATGGTGTTAATCAACTCATGTATCAACTACAAATGTTCAACATCAGGCAAGGGATGACACTCCTAACCAGGAAGATCTTACCTCTGTTATCATTTTACAGCTTTTACAGGGTCCGATCTGACTGAATAACTGGAGTATAAGGACTTCTGTCACATCTCTGGAGAGGTTACCTACGTATCTGAATGAGAGAGGAAAAAAACATTATCAGCAATGTTTCTTTGACTATAGCTCTGATGTGTTATTATTTAATTCATCTTTTATTTCAAGTTCCCGTCTATGCTAAATTTTTTTAGTTAAGCCTATGATAGCTATATTTCCAATTTCAGAATTTGTAACATAAATATGACAAATATTGATTTACTAAAACATCTTGATGATGAACTAATACTAGACAGCAGTTGTTAGTGGGCTCATCTCAACACTGCCAACCAAAACAATTTCATGAACAATGAAGAGAGTGAGAGTCAAGTTGTTCTAGCAGAGCAGAGGGTGGGTGGGTGGAGGTGCTGAGGTCTGCTTCAGTTTGGGCTAAAAAAGACTGTTAGTGATGGCACATCTTCATTGCTTTAAGAACAATGGAATTAATAATTTATACCTTCTATCAGCATCAACAAAACAATCTTTAGATAACAAATAAAAGAAATTTAAGAATTCTTTAGAAATTCAGAGGAAAATTTAAGATAGACCCAAATATGCTTTTGACTGGATATTTAAAGGTTCGAGCTTTTCTCCCTAATTAGCAGTTGATTAAAAATTTCAATGAGAAAAAAGAAAAATCAACACCTAACCCCTCAAAGATGATCACCTTGGTTTATGAGTTACTACAACTTGATTTATGTCTTACATTCTCAATAAATTGCCAAAATCTTTTTTGGTTCTCAACAAAAAACACCTTAAGTGTACATTTGTCATGAATCACTTTATAAACCAAAACATTACTTGTAAAATGTGACATAGTTTCTTCTGGGAAGTAAAAAGATACCATTTTACTTTTCTGACCACAACACAACATTAGGAACCAGTGCTGAGACCAAAATAAGGCTTGCAACAGTTGCCACGTTAAATACAAAGCTTTCAAATGAAACATGCTAAAAGAAAAAGGGTTGGAGAAAGCTAAGCTTCAGAAAAACCTAAAATGATTGGTTAAGAATGGGGCTGGAGAGGTGGCCCAGTCATCCAGCATGCTTGCTGTTCTTGTAGGGGACAGAGTTCAGTTCTCAGCACCCAGGTCTGGCAGCTCACAATTAATTGCCTGTAACTCCAGTTCCAGGGATTCCAACACCCTCTTCTGGGCTCCTCCAGCACCTGTGTACCCAGATGTATATACATGTAATACATGCAGGGGGACACACACAATTTTTAAAAAACAAAAACAAACAAACAAACAAAAACAGGAAAAAAATGAGTAACAACTTCCCAGCTTAGTTAAGAATGTCACAGCAGTGGTGACCAACAACCTCAGGGTACATGTTCTCAGGCTGAAATACAAGTCCAGTGCTATTGAAATAAAGAATTAGCTAGCTGACAAACTGGTTTAGGTCTAGTATGCCATCTTTTCCTTATAATTAAATGGAGCTGACCCACCGTAGGCCATACGGGTGATTTTTTTCCCCCAGCAGTAGAAAACAGTTGAAGGGATTACTAATTAGCCATAAATGACTGCTTGCCCCTTTTCACTCACAGGGACTTTATGAGCCTGTAACTATGGAATAACCTCCTTTGTAAAAAAGACCCAAGTATAAAGAAAATGAGCAAGTGAACTTGATTTTCTAAACACTGTGTTCACCTGACCAGTCTAGCCTGCAGAGGGCAAGGGATAACAGTGGTTTTAAAAATGAAGCTAGCCAGTAACAAAAATAAACAATAGAACATCATTTTACCATGCTAATTTTTGATGATTATACAGTTTTAAGATTGTGTTCATGTTTAAAAACATTAAATGTTACTTTTCACAGCTAAGTCACAATAAAAGCTATTTTTGTTTAACAAGACTTTCATTCTAAGTCAACCCATTTTCAATCAGGTAGGAAACTCCCTGGTTCCAGAGGCACATTGATGTATATAATTAATTTCTGTATCTAGCAGTGTCAAAGATTAAAAATTGTTAACATTCTAGTTTAGAATGTCATGAAATATTTACAGAATAAATACCAGTGCTAAGGTATCCTATTTTTCAAATACTTCCAAGAGTTAACAGCTAAAGCAGCAGACTAAAAGTTTTTTTTTTGTTGTTGTTGTTTTTGTTTGTTTTGCTTTCAAGACAGGATATCTCTGTGTAGTTTGGAGCCTGACCTGAAACTCACTCTCTAGACCAGGCTGGTCGAACTCACAGAGATCCGCCTGCCTCTGCCTCCCAAGTGCTGGGATTAAAGGAGTATGCCACCACTGCCTGGTTTAGCAGACTCAATTTTAAAAACATAGAAAGCCTGGCTAGGCATGGCAGTGCACACCTTTAATCCCAGCACTCAGGAGGCAGAGGCAGGTGGGTCTCTGTGAGTTTGAGGCCAGCCTGGTCTACAAAGCGAGTTCCAGAACAGCTAAAGATATACAAGGAAACCCTGTCTTGAAAAACCAAAACTATACAAAGCCTTCTGGAACTACAGAGAACATCTTCAATTGTCAAGATGAAAAGGATACAATTTAGTATATAATTTCACCTACATTTATCCAAATTTTAGACTGACTTTTCTACTCAAGGTTCTATAATTTATGTATCTAACAAAGGCAGAAGTTATATTTTTAATATTGTATACTGTGCCTTTTACATTATCAAAAAATCATCTATCCCAGAATAACTCTAACAATGGTGTTTAAGACAAAATTCAACATTCAACCTAGTATCATCTTTCATAGCTTACTGAATTTGTTATCTGTTTCTTTCAAACAATATTTTCTATACTTCACCTTCTGCTGCAGCTAAGTAGTATTAAGTACATTCTAAAGTTCCAAGTTTTTAAATATGCAATTTTTACCTGAAGGAGCATGTGCAAAAACAACAGACAAAGACAAACGGTCTGAGTTCTTATAGTAAATAGAAACACTTAGGAAATTCCAGAAATGACTTTTAACTCAAGATAAAAATAAGGAAAATGCATACCTTACAGTCTATTTTGTCTTCTAAGAACAGGAACTGTGGGAACCGAAACATTAATAACTGAAATGATACCTTTATCCCTAACATTGGGTCTAAGATCCAATTGGAGACTAGAAAACTTGGCAGTTTCACAGCAGGCAGAAGTTCACAGTGCAGTGAACTACTTCCTACGTCCAACTGGGCAGAAATGAAGAACATGGTGCCTTGCAGAAAGCTAATGACAGCTTTTCCACTGAATGTGCTCTCACTCTGAAAAGTAACCCTACCAAGGCCGAAATTACCAGCACTTTTATACAAAATACTGTTGGGCTAAATTTCCATAAAGGTTGTTGTAGTTTTCTGATCATTCTTAACAAGTTCCTATACAAAAATGAGATTTCCAACAGTAACCCTGAACAGCCCTCTAAAGGGCTGTCTGAGCTGTTACTACGGGATTTTCAGAAGGAGGCAAAGCTGGAAAGGTAGAGTAGGGTAACTAACCTGACCAAGGACCTCTAAAGGATGGTCCTATACAAGCTTTAAAGAAACAAAGATGACCAAGTTGAACCAGCTTGATTATAGCCACAATATAGCTAAATCAATGGTGTAGCCAAGTCTATGCGATCTTACACTGTTTTCTTCTGTTTTGTTCACAGATGTTCAGAACACACTTTAAATCACAGGCTTATTACCTCCTTTTTACTGAGTATCAAGGAAGAATAAATAGCCTTATAGCATTGAATCCTAGATGTACAATTTCTAGGGTTTTGGTACACCAAATAGATGAACAGACTAAACTACAATTGACTGCTAATATAATTTAGTGTCACACTGTGGGTTCAGATACCACAGACCAAATCACTGCACTGCAAAGACACAACCCAAGGCGGAAACGTCCTACAAGGCTGGTCTAATTCAAACACCAGTATCACATATTGGGATCTCATTGATTTGTTTTTAAGATCATGAATACATAATACCCCAAAATAAATGTCAAATGAAAATGAGGAACATCAGAAAACAGACCTTTAAAGCAACTATATGGCAAATAAGATCTCAGATGAACATCAAGGCAATTCTATACCACTTTAAATATCATCAGATAAATTAGTAATACTGTAGATAATGAATATTTAAAGACCTACCTAGGCTATAAACACCATATTGTTTTCTGAAGATAGAACCATATGTCTTAGCTTGTGTGTGTCTGCAGGAAGAAAACCTTACTAGTAACACACAGGCATTTGAAAGTAAACATGTTAAGATAAACTTTATTTAAAGTACATTGTTTTAAAACATAGTAGTCACTTGAGAAACCTAATCCATAGATCACAATGCAAAATACAGGTTCTTCATAAACAAAATCAAATCCTATTAAACATTTGCTTTGATGTCAAGACTTTACATTAGGTATATATATATATGTATATATATATATAAATCAACAAACTTCAGAAAGTATGACAATGTCCGCCTATAATTTAAGTCAATAAGAACTTCTAAAAACAATGCTTAATACTAATTTAGCCAAAGAAGTACAGCTTTAAAATATTTATTGAGTACCTCTTACGTTCCAAGGAGTGAACTAAGTGCAAGGAGGGTTAAGACCTAGGAAGCAGTACAGTTCTTGCATTTAAAAGCAAGGCAAAAGCATAGTGGTGGTGGTGCCTTTAATCCTAGCACTCAGGAGGCAGAGACAGGTAGATCTCTGTGAATCGGAGGCCAGCCTGGTCTACAGAGCGAGTTCCAGGACAGGCTCCAAAACTAGAGAAACCTTGTCTCTAAAACCAAAATGAAACCAAAATAATAATAGCAATAAATAAAAACAAAACCAAACCCACTATGACTGTCCATGAAGAAGAGTGGGAAAAGGAAGACATAACAAACACAAGGTGATGGACTAGAACAGAGCTTAAGATGTTTATCCCCTCATATGTATATATCGCAGTTTAGCTAACTAAACACTGACAACTGAAGTGCTTCAGGGGAAAAAGACAAGTGCTCGAGATGGAAATGTATGAAATACTATAATTTAGCTCTGGTCTAGAGGATGAGCCCTGATAGCGATGCAAAGACAATTTACAGGAATAAAAGAAACAGAAAAAGGCATACTATGTAACAGACAAAGGCAAGAGACTTGTTCTAAGAACAAATAGATGCAGTTAATGAGACATGAGAATTTACCAAGTAAGCACTAGCTATTATGATGCAATGATGACATTTCAGGGATTTTAGATACAATGTAACTGCCATCTTCCTTGAACATATGCTTGCTAGGCCTTAAGTCTAGTTTCCCCGGATGCTTTTATATAAGTACACACTGCTAGCTATTAAATGCAAAGCCATGGCTTAAACAAAGATTTAAGAACAAATTTCAAGTTTTGTCTCAATTATAATTTTTCTGGAAAACAGAAATGGAAAAAAAAACACACAAAAAATTTTAACAAACTTCTCATTCACAGGTATATGTTTAGGTTGTTTTCAAATTTGCCAAGTAAGATGTTAAGAGAAATAAGAATGGAAAATATAAACGATGCTTAAAAAAAAAGAGAGAAAGAAAAAGATATCAACATTGAATATTTACTGAACATCTTTTCTGTGGTAAGAATGAAGCTCTGAGAAACTAGTCAGAGATCCTGAGTATCCACCCACCGTAGTCCATTCCCCAAAAAGTACTTTCCCCATCAGCTAACCCGGCCAAGTGGACTCTGATCATCATAGCAATCAATACCAGGCAGAGCGAGGCAAGAGAGACAATGCAGCAGGCTGACTCTGTGTACTTACTCCAGGCAGGAGTAGCTGGCCTGGAGAGGCTGGTAACCCCAAGGTGCTCACTTTAAACAATGAATTAGAAATTACTCAGACCAAGGAAAAAAAGAGTGCCACACTATCTGGAAAGGAATACAGACGCTGAGTCATCACTCTGCATCGGGAAAGGAAGGAAACGCCAATTAAGCGGTTGGAAGATGCAATTCATTCATTAAATTGGCCATCAGGTGAAACTCAACTGCTAGACCGCGGAAAAAAAGGACCCAAAAGACACGCATCAAATAGCGGGAGAAGACATCCTTTTCTCCAACTCTGATGGTCCTGACGCACAAACCGATTAGGAAGCGGCATCGCCAACTGAGCGAAAGGAGTTTAACTGGTTGTCAGTTTGGCGTAGTGAGCGCTCAAAGTAAACTTCGCTATCCAAGGGACAGAGGTGGTGCACGGCGGCAAAAGGCAATCTCTTTGGCACTTGAAAAGCAGCGGGCGATGGGCGGGTGTTTCTGACAGCGTGGGGCACGTGGGGCAGAAAGAGACAAGGGGCTCCTCTGGTTAAAGAGCGGTAGGCTCGGGAAAAGATCCGGAGGCTGAGGACGTGGACCGCTGAGGACGTGGACTGAGGCTGAGTACTCACGCCAGAGGGTGCAGCAGCGGTCCCACCCCCGCCAAGCCCTGCCCCCGTGGAGACCCACAGCTCCCGGTTCAGCCCGGAGTCCCCAAAGCACAGGGGGAGCCGGAGCTCTCCCGAGCCTGACAGCCTCAGCCGTGCACAACAAGACCGGTCTAGGAAGGGTGTGCAAAGAAGGGATTGGGAGGAAAAGGTCGAGACGAGCCCTACACCCTAGAAAGTAACTGTGTTCGGGGGGAAGGGAGGGCTTCCTTCTCTAGCAAAGAGGGACAGAAGAGGAATGCACTTCGTAGCGCTCCACCGGGACGCCGGGCTCTCAGCTTCGGGTTCCGGTCTCCTGCTCCCTCCCTCAGCATCCCGCGTGCCCGGGCCGCTCGGTGCCTGGCACCCCCGGTCTCGGGTACTCACAGAGTCCGGGGCTGTCCGTCGTCTTCCATCATGGTGGGTGCGACGGAGTGATCCCGGGACAAGGGGGAGGGCAGGGCCGGGGAGGGGAGGGGGTGGGAAGGAAGGGGAGGGGGGCTCCGGGCTCCGGCTGGGGACAGAGGAAAAGGTACTGAACCCCACTCTCGGTCCGCTCCCCCCCAGCCCGCTCCGGACACTGCGCTCCAACCAGGAGGAGCAGGAGGAGGAGGAGGATGAACAAAATGGCCGCCGCCACCAGACAGGCAGGAAACGCTTCAAGGCGCAGGCGCGGCCCGCCAGGTCACTGCTCAGGCCAGTTGCGACGGCCTGTCCGGCAAAAGTGGTTGAAAGAACAGAAAGCCTGGCAAAAGAGTACACCCTGACACTGGACACGACGCAGCACGTCGTCGCTGTGGGCCTAGTGGCCTAGCCAGCTTCAAGAGAAACACGACACAGAGAGAAAAGCCGCGAAGTCAAGTCTCTGGGAATTGTGGTCCCGGGAAAGCGGGGGAAGCCCTTCGCCAGTGGCCTTCTGGGAACTGTAGTCCAAGGACGACCCGGAGCCTGCCGGAGCGCGAAGGAGAGATTTCTGGGTAGTGTAGTCGTACGTGAGGACGTGCCGCGATAAAATAGTTGATGTGCCGGGAGGGAGCGAGGATTAAAAGGCGACCGGCCGAAATGAGCGAGCTTTCCGGGAAGTAAACTACAAATCCCAGAGTGCCTCGCGCCGGGGACCGCCCTAGGATCGCTTCTAGCATTTTAAGGCTCTTCTGTTGGTCCAGTGTGAGCTTCAGCTCCGCCTCCGTCCAGCCCCAGAGCGGTTTCTTCAACTGCGGATCAGGCAGTGTGCTGGGTCCGCGTGGTTCCCCAGCTTGCCGGCCTTTCTGGCCTCAACCCATAGAACTGCTAGTCTGTATTCAGTAACCGCCGTCTCACGCGACGGACAGGAGAGAGGCAACTCTGAACTGGACCCGGAGGGGCTGTGGCGAACATCGAGGCTGTGCCAGAGCCAGCCTCGTCTTTGAGTGTGTTTCCCTGCAAGATAGGCCTTTTTAGCCTGTCTTGCTTTACAAATTCCGGAGGGATCGCTACTCATTATCTCATCGGATTAGTGGGTAAGGAGGCAAAAAGAGCAATCCCTCATGAATGTGACTTGTGCCTCTACCAAAATCCTAGTTAAAACAAAAACATCGCGTGGTGGTGCACAATGCTACTACGCAGGAGGATAATAAATTTAAGTCCAGCCTGGAATTACATGCCAAGATCTCATCAAAAACAGAAAGAGGCTCAGAGACTGAGAACTGTGCTAAAACATGGTCTGGATGAGTTATTGGACGTGGAGTGCTAGTTTACAGCTGCTAGAGCAAGAGGGGAGGTAGAGCTGGCTGGGGTGGTACACGCCCTTAATCCCAGCACTCCCTGGAGGTGGAGGCAGGCAGGTGCGTGAGTTTGAGGACAGTCTGGTCTACAGAGTGAGTTCCCGGACAGCCAGGACTGTTACACAGAAACCCTGCATGGGGGATAGAACTACATTAATCATAACCATAATTCAATTAACTGCAATTAACTGGCCCATGCCTAACCCAATGTATATGTCTTTTTTTTTAAATATTTATTTATTTATTATGTATACAATATTCTGTCTGTATGCCTGAAGGCCAGAAGAGGGCGCCAGACCTCTTTACAGATGGTTGTGAGCCACCATGTGGTTGCTGGGAATTGAACTCAGGACCTTTGGAAGAGCAGGCAATGCTCTTAACCACTGAACCATCTCTCCAGACCCCAATGTATATTTCTTGTTGCTGTTGTAACAAAGTATAAATTTAAACAAACATGCATTATCTTACAGTCATAGATGTTAGAAAGGCAAATTCAACCAGGCATAGTGGTACATACCGGCAAATTCAGCTCTCAGGAAGATCAGGAATTCAGAGCCAGCCCTGGATACATAGTAAGTTCGAGGCCAGCCTGAGCTACCTAAGACCCTGTCTCAAAAAGGGGGTTAGGATGAGAGAAACAGCAAAATCAAGGTGTTGCTGAACTGTTTCGTTCCTAGTTTTGACTTCTGTATGTGGCCTACATTATCTGGTGCTTTGAGCCTCCCTCCATCTGCAGAGGCAGCACTATATGATTTTTCTGGTCTCTTTCATTTTCTTTCTGACTAATCTACCTTTTTTAAAACTTACCTTTTATGATTAATTTGGCCATTTCAAAATTTATTAACACACTCAAAACACCCCACCTATATTAAAATGGTCACATGTTCTGGGGATCCTTGATTTCGTTCAATTTATACAAATAGTGATTTTTAACAATGTAATAAAATTAATTTATCCCAGTCTTCCTTCACTTTAGATATATGACCCTAAATCCTGTCTTTACCATTTCTTGCTTTTTTTTTTATTAAGTTTTGTTCTACATACATATGCTCCTTAAAGGTATGCATGCTTTCAACGCAATGCAGCAAAATCCCAGCAAAATTCTTCAAAGACCTCGAAAGAATGGTACTCAACTTCATTTGGAAAAGCAAAAAACCCAGGATAGACAAAACAATCCTGGGCAATAAAAGAACTTCTGGAGGCATCACAATCCCTGACTTCAAACTCTACTACAGAGCTACAGTACTGAAAACAACCTGATATTGGCATAAGAACAAACAGGAGGACCAATGGAACCGAATAGAAAACTTGGATATTAATCCACACATCTTCGAACACCTGATCTTTGACAAGGAAGTAAACAATATCAAATGGAAAAAAGAAAGCATATTTAACAAGTGGTACTGGCATAACTGGATATCAACATGTAGAAAAATGAAAATAGACCCATATCTATCACCATGCACAAAACTCAAATCCAAATGAATCAAAGACGTCAACATAAAGCCAGCCACACTGAACCTTATAGAAGAGAAAGTGGGAAGTACACTTGAACACATTGGCACAGGGAACCACTTCCTAAATATAACCCCAGCAGCACAGACACTGAGTGAAACAATTAATAAATGGGACCTCCTGAAACTGAAAAGTTTCTGTAAAACAAAGGATACGGTCAACAAGACAAAACGACAGCCTACAGAATGGGAAAAGATCTTCACTAACCCCCACATCAGACAGAGGTCTGGTCTCCAAAACAGACAAAGAACTCAAGAAATTGGACACCAAAAGAACACATAATCCAATAAAAAAAAATGGAATACAGACCTAAACAGAGAACTCTCAACAGAGGAATCTAAAATGGCTGAAAGACACTTAGGGAAATGTTCAACATCCTTAGTCATCAGAGAAATGCAAATCAAAACAACTCTGAGATTCCCTCTTACACTGTAAGAATGGCCAAGATCAAAAACACTGATGACAACTTATGCTGGAGAGGTTGTGGGGAAAAGGGAACACTTCTGCATTGCTGGTAGGAATGCAAGCTGGTACAACCCCTTTGGATATCAGTGTGGCAATTTCTCAGAAAATTAGAAAACAACCTTCCTCAAGACCCAGCAATACCACTTTGGGGTATATATCCAAAGGATGCTCAATCGTGCAACAAGGATATGTGCTCAACTATGTTCATAGCAGCTTTGTTTGTCATTGCCAGAACCTGGAAACAACCTAAATGCCCCTCGATTGGAGAATGGATAAGAAAAATGCGATACATTTATACAATGGAGTACTACACAGCAGAAAAAAATAATGACAGCTTGAATTTTGCAAGAATATGTATGGACCTAAAAAACATCATTTTGAGTGAGGTAACCCAGACACAGAAAGACAATTATCACATGTACTCACTCAAAGGTGGTTTTTAAATATAAAGCAAAGAAAACCAGCCTACAAACCACAATCCCAGAGAAGTTAGAGATCAATGCAGACACTAAGAGAGACTTACATAGATATAATCTACATGCATAGTAGAAAGTATAAAAAGACAAGATCTCCTGATTCAATTGGGAGCATGGGGACCTTGGGTGAGGACTGAAGCGGGGAGGGGAGAGGCATGGAGGGGAGCAGAGAAAAATGTAGAGCTCAATAAAAATCAATAAAAAAGAAGAAAGAGTTTATTTACAGTTACAGGGGGTTAGTCCATGACTACATGCAGGGAGGCATGGAGCTGGAACAGTAGCTGAAAGTTTATATCTTGATCCACAACATGAAGAAGAAAGAGGTAACTGGGGATGCTATGAGCTTTTGAAAAGTCAAAACCCAGCCCTAGTAAAACACCTCCTTCAACAGAACCACATCTCTTAATCCTCCCCAAACAAGTCCACCAACTGGGGACCAAATATTCAAATATATAAGCCGCTGGGGGCCATTCTTATTCAAACCACCTTATTTGGTAAGTACTGTAGAATAATCCTGTGTACTGTAATATATATTGCTCTTATTGGTTAATAAAGAACTGACTGGGCAGTAGCCAGGCAGGAAGTATAGGCAGGACAGCCAAATTGAGAGTACTGGGAGAAAGAAGGGCAGAGTCAGTAGAGACATGAGCCAGACACAGAAGAAGTAAGATGTACAGAAAATGAAGTAGCAAACCATGAACTACATGGCAGAGGGCAGATAAGAAATATGGGTTCATTGAAAATATAAGAGCTAGTTAATAATAAGCCTAAGCTATTGGCCAATCATGTACAATTAATATTAATCTCAGTGTGTTTATTTGGGAGCTGCTGGTGGGACAGAAACTTCTGTCTACAGGTAAGTCTTGACTTTCTCTCCAGGACCTTTTTACAGGCTTTATTCAGTTTTAGCCTGGTGGGTTGCTGGGATGAATGTTCCCACAGACAGTTGTGCCACCAGCCTTTGTCACTGTGCTTGTTCAGTGTAGATGACATATTTCTTCCTGCAAACCCAACTGCTTTGCCAAACTGTTGACCTTTATAGTGCCTTTGCACAACTTGAACTTTCTCGTCCTTTTGGATGGGTGTAAAGGGAACATTGAAGTTCTATCTCAGCACTCTGGAAAGAGGGGAAGACTTTATCTTCCTCTATATATGGAAAGGTGCAGCAACATTTCTATTATGGTTCTTTTCTCTGTTGCTCCAACAGCTGCAAATAGCCAAATATCTGTTAGTGTTTCCTGCCTCTGCTGCTGTAGCAGTTTCTTTTCTACTCATCGGTGTTGTTTTAACTTCAGCACGGTAGCTGCAGCTTAATCTACTGCTAGCTCAGTCAGCAACTGCAACTCCACAGTTATGAGCCCACTTCTCTGGCAGCAGCCTGGCCACTCGGGGCATAGCCTGGAGAGAATTCTCCCACAGACACTGGCTCTGTTGCTGCCACTACAAGTAGCTTTAACTAAATCTCTACTGTTCTAATTATACATAGGATTCAAAATTCAAAGGTTGGGGTGAAAACCTGTGAGCTCAGAGAGGCTGAGAAGCAGCTAGCTAACCATCTCTTCTCCTTGCTGGCATCCATGGCAGACCCATGCTTCCACTTTGCCAAACCAGAAAAAACTGTGCCAGTCCAAAGCCCACCCAACTACTTCCTGTGTCTATCTCTCCTGG